CCCTTCCCGCCTCCGCATCGCACCTCCGGAATCCTGCTTTCCGCCTCCGGCCTCCTGCTTCCCCCATCCCGCCTCCAGGATCCTGCCTCTCGCTTTCCACCTCCCGCATCCCGCTTCCCGCTTGCTGCATCCCGCCTCCTGCTTCCCGCATCCCCCTTCCCGCATCGCGCCTCCCGCTTCTCGCCTCCCGGCCTCCCGGGGAGGGCGATGCTGCACAGTCGTTGCCTGGCAACAGAGGCTGGCAGTGCCGGCAGCTCCAGGCTGCTCCCCGCGCACCCCCCAAACCCCCTACCCCCACCCCCCCACTGCAGGTGAGCTGGCTGGGATTCTGGATTCGGATTCCATGGTTTAAAACACCAATGAGGTTTAGTTTCCCAGACCACACTAGGACAAGGCCAGATGACTGGATTAAGGGGGGGGAAACGAGTGTCTTGATCTCCTACCTGGTAACAGACTAGGTAAAACTGGCTTTGCGTTTCTTGTAAAAAAAAAAAAAAAGAAAAAAAAGTTGCAACACTGTATACAAGACATTACTTTTCTATTTTAGAATGTTTAGCAGTGTGTTGTGGAATTAGCGTGGCTATGACAGCCAGGATACAATGGTTTGTATCCCAGGTTCACCTTACTTGCCCCTCTAAGCTGTGAAGTAATGGTGGCGATGGTTCCTTTTAGGGTTATTGCAAACACTACACAAATTATTCCGTGTGACAGACTAGCACAGAGCCAACAGTCAGTGAACAGCCAGTAGAAGCTACTTCACACTGAACATATTATTATACTGATACATTAACCTCTTGAGTGTATTATTCATCATATATGATCATCCAACTTTCATTTGAATTCCAAACATAAAAATTTATCTTTAACCCTGTTTAATGATAAACTCAGGCATATTAAAATGTTTAAGAGTTTATTTGAGCAAAACTTGATTCGAATCAGACAGCATCCCATCTAACTGAGAGAAAGGAGCTGCACGGACCTGCAGAAAATGAAAGACTTTGAGGACCAGTAGGGAGCAGAAACAAAGAAACTATACAAGGATAAAAAGCAGGCTGGTTATTTCAAGGTTACTTTCCATAGGGGAGGACAGGGGTGTGCGAGGCCGATTCCCTAACTAGTGATGATCAGACGATTCCAGATTGACAGATTAAAGATTTCATTTCTAGGGACGTCAAAAGTGTAATTGATTCTCAGCTTGGTGACAAGCAACATTAAGGGCCCTCCTAATGCCTAGATCTGAATAAGTGGAAACTTTTTGCTGTATTTTTAAGGTAACCGAATTGTTAGGCTGCCTTAAAAGTGTGGGCTAACTTAATCCCCCCTTTATAAATTTTCATGGGATTTGTTTTGAAACTTTTTCTTCCAAAAGTCTCTGGCATCATAAAAAAAATCTTGGCATTAAGAAAATTAACAAATCTTTATGAACATCCCACTATACTATGCAATTTTAAATATCTTTTTTGCCTCCTGCCTGCCCCATCAGCCACAGTACATGCCAGATTGATATTACCATGTGTGAACATTTGTGTTAACTCAAAAATGTGAGGCCTGGCAACGGTGATAGATATCCCCTTCCACAAAACTAGAACTTTTAACCTAGCTCAGAATATAGCATGGCACTGTATGTTTGCTTCTGCCTGCGTCAAGAAGAATGATTTATTGCTCTTGGTTTTTTTAAATGTATGAATATTTTTAGTATAGTACTAAATTGGTCAAAGTACTTCTTGAACTTAAAATCCAATGACAAATTCCCTTCATGAGACCACCTACTTCAAGCAGGAGTTATCTTTGGCTTTCAGGAATTCATTCATCCATTCGACAAAGATTCCCGGGGCAGCTTCTCCAGGCCACTGCTGGACTAGACACAGGTGCAGCAGGTGTAAAAACCAGACTCAGGCCCTGCCCCCACGGAGGCCACAGTGTAGCTAACTTTGGAAAAAGCTGTAAATACAATCCAAGGAGCTGGTGAGACAATAGAGCATGGGGATGGGGGCCTAACACTGAATGTGGAGCAGGTAGTGAAGCTAGAAGGATATTTAGGAGGTGGTCAAGTGAAGAAGATATTCCAAGGATTACAGAGAGAAGCAACCTGTGAACCCAGGGGGATGAGCTAGGGTGTTCCGGAAGTAGAGCTGGCAGGAGAATCAGGGCAGTGCTGGCAAGGGGAGAGACTTGAGAGCTGAGGTCACAGAATTTACACCAACACAATCTTGAAGTACCATGTAAGTGGTGGGAATGGACATGGCAGATCCATATTGTCACTGTGGCAACACCAAACACTAGAATAAGTGAGCAGGAGGCCATTGCTGAAATCCACGTTAGATTAGTGACCTAAGACCACAGTAATGGGAGGCAGGGTGGAAGGGACAGGACAGATATTTGATATTTAGGAAAGAGACTCCATGGGACACAGGAACAGTTGGGTTTGCAAGAAAGGAAAGGAATCAGGAATGAGTTCCACGTTCTAGTTTAGATAATCAGGGGCCATATCACAGAAAAAAGAGAGGAACAAACTGGAGGTGTGAGGGCGGGCGTTGGGGGTGAGCTCAGCCCTTGGCAGATACAACTGAGGATCCCCAGGAAACATGGAAGTGGAGGTATGCTTGGGGATGGCCATGGGCAGGAGGGTGAACTGGGCTGGAGATGTGATGTGGGCATAGTCAGATCTGCACCCGCAGACTATGAAGGATAGGGTCAGCCCCACCAGGGAAGAAAGGGTGGGTGGGCCCCAGGCACCTCCACCAGCCTGAGGGGGAGTAGGACATCACAACCACCAGGTGATGGAAGCCAAAGAACAAGATTGCCTCCAAAGAGAGTCAGTGTCAGCTCCATGGAGAGGTCCAAAAAAGTAAAGACCAAAGTTCATGGATGAAATTTAGTACCTGGAAGGCCCCTGATCATCCTCATGAGAATGTTTTGAGTGTAGCGAGGTGGGCCAAAGCCAGGCTCCAGGGAGCTGAGGTGTGAACAGGAGGGAAGGAAGGACAGGCCAGCGTCAGGTTCCCTTTTAAGCCCTTGGCTGCCTGAGGCAGGAGGGAATGTAATGGCGCTAACAAGGAACCTGAAATGTAAGGAGGTGCTGCTGTTGGATTTGAATGAGACCTGTCCAAGGTGAGGCCCGTCGCGCCCCGGGCGCTTGCTGCACGCAGAGGGAACCGGGCAGAGGAGCCTGGGGAGCCCCGCCAGGTGGTGTCTGCTCTGTCAAGATCAGGCCTTGCTGAAGGAGAGAGGCCTGTGGGCTTGGGGGACTCTGGGCCCCCGGAAGACAGCCGCACAGAGGCACGTGAAGGATTCGGTGTGAGGGCCTCGGGCCCCAGAGCGCGGACACCGTCGCGGGCTCTAACAGCCCCGCACAAGCCCCGGACTCGTGCCTGCCGCGTGGCCTCCTTCGCCGTCCTTCCCGCAAGTCCAGGGATGCGCGTGCAAGGCTGCGGGCCGACGGACGTCTCCGCGGGCTGGCTGCAGCAGTAAGGGAGGGAACTCGCAGCCCGCACCGGGAGGGAGAACCAGACCCATCTCCGCCCTCTTGGGTTCGAGGCCACAGTGTCTCCTAGGAAAATAGTAGGGCTGTTCAGAGAACTGCGAGGGAGAAACGGGGGCTGGAGATAAAGACAAGAGGCTAAGGGAGGCGGCGGCGTGGGTGCGCTGGAAGCGTCTAGAAGAGGAACGGAACAAAGGCGGTGTGACTGGTGAGCCTCCTGCAGATCCTCCTCCCTGATAGAATATGCATGATCCTGCGCGAGTCCTCGCCTGCCTGGGAGCAGGGAGGCGTCGGAGCCCTCGGCGGGGAGCGCACGCCCAGACCCAGTCTCCCAGGCGCGGGGTGCGAGAGAGGCGAGAGGCACGCGGCCGCGGTGCGGACCCCGCGCGGGTGAGCCTCCCGCGGGCCGGGCTCGCAGAGGTCAGCTCCCGACCCCTCCGGCACCCACAGCGCTAGCGCCCCAGAGAGACCCTGCGAGCAGGCCAGCCCCTCTTTCCCGCCGAGCCGAGGCCCGGGGGCGCCCGGCACCGGGAGGGGGCGCGCGTCCGACGGCGGAGGCCGCGCGGGGCGCGAGCGGGCCGGCAGGTGCCCACAGAAGCCCTGAGGGGAGCCGGCGGCGCGGGGCGGCCGCTCAGCACCCGGAGGGGCTGGGGCACGGCCGCGCTCCGGCAGGGCGCTCCCCGGCAGGCGGGGGCGGGCGGAGCGGGGCTGGGCGCGGGGACGCGGGGACGCGGGGACGCGGGGCGAGCGCGGGCGCAGCGGAGCGCGGTAGGCTCGGCCCCGTCTCCCTCGGTTCCGCGCTGTGTGCCGGCAGAAAACTCTAAGCCTGTGTCTTTAAGAAGCGTGTATCTGGCTCCGCGCGTTTCCTCGCATCCTTTCTAGTTGGGAGTTTGCGGTGGGCAGAGGGAGGGTGAGGAACGCCTGTTCCGATCGGTCGGAAAGCACCGGGAGACCAGAGCATCTCTTTCAGCAGCCGGGAAGAGAAGCCGTCGCACGACCCACGCGTACCTACGCCTCTCTGTTGCTTTTCGTGCGAATACCTAACTCTGCCTGACGTCCCTCCGAGCGGCCAGGCATGGGGTGTTTGGGCAACAGCAAGACCGCAGAAGACCAGGGCGTCGATGAAAAAGAACGACGCGAGGCCAACAAGAAGATCGAGAAGCAGTTGCAGAAGGAGCGGCTGGCGTACAAAGCGACCCACCGGCTGCTGCTACTGGGTAAGGCCGGAGGGCGCGCGGCGGCTCCCGGCCCGGCGGAGCGCACGGCCCGTGGCGCACGGCCGGCAGCGCACTGCCCGCAGCGCATAGCCCGCGGCGCACGGCCCGCGGCGCACGGCCCGCAGCGCAGCGAGCGCGGGGGAGCGCGGGGGCCCGGCGGGCAGGGCCCGCTGCTCCACGCGCGAGCTGGGGCGGACCGGAAAAGGCCGACTCTCGGGTAGCGTAGTTGCTGCCCGGGTTGGCACGAGAAGTGGCAATGGCGTTGGGCCACAGACCACAGCATTGCTTTTATTTGTTTGCAGGGGCTGGTGAGTCTGGGAAGAGCACTATCGTCAAACAGATGAGGATCCTGCATGTCAATGGATTTAATCCCGAGTAAGGAATGATCAGTCTCGCTTTTGCTTCCAAACTGCATGCAAACTTTTCCACTTCCCTCAGCATTCCCAAAAGTGCTTTCTCTAAACAGTTGATTTGATCTTGGCGGGGGTGGGGGTGGGGGTGGGGGTGGGGGTGGGTGGGTGGATAGAAGCCTGTCGTCGAATTTGGTATATTGAGGCAAATCCTTCTTTTGGTAGAGTCCAGATGAAAAAGTGAAATAATTTGCTTAACAAAATATGATTCATTAGATATTCTTGAGGTATTGATCTCTTTATTATTGGTACTGCGCTTAGCACACTTAACCAACGTGTCATTTTATACTTTTCTCTATATCCTTGGTCTGCCTCTCTTTCTATTCGTAACTATCAACATATGAATAATTCAAATAAAACAGATTTACAAATGTAGCTGTATAGTTTTTATATGCAATACTCATAACACCTTTACCATGCCTTGTGTAACCTGTGTAGCTGTTTAAACTATAGATTGTAATGTGTGCAAGTTTGCTTAGTGTACAAACTAGGAAAAAAAAAGGCACCTTTTCTTTTCCCACTTAAAAACTTTGCAGCTGTTGTCGTGGGGGTTGGTGTGGACCTCTAGTAAAACCAATCTAGCCACATGCTGCAGCTGGAAGCTTAAATCCCACTCAGCTGATTCAAGTCAGTTCTAAAGGCAAATTAAATTAATAACAATTCTGTTTTCATATAGGGAAAAGAAACAGAAAATTCTGGACATCCGGAAAAATGTTAAAGATGCTATTGTGGTAAGGAATTTTTTTAATGTCTGTTTAGTAGAAAGGTTAAATACTCTGTTCCCTAAAAATATATAAGACAGAAACTATGTATTTCAGTTGTCATACATGAAGCCTAAATATTATATTTATTCATATATTTTTTTCATTCCATTTTAGACAATTGTTTCAGCGATGAGTACTATCATACCTCCAGTTCCGCTGGCCAACCCAGAAAACCAATTTCGATCAGACTATATCAAGAGTATAGCTCCTATCACCGACTTTGAATATTCCCAGGTAAGTAAATCCTTCTTGAAATATTTTAAATGGTGGAAGAGAGAACCGTTCTTAACGAGACTGCTTGAGAATCAATGTTAGTATTATTTTATTCTTGATTTTCTTCAAAATCTAGCTCTCTGAAGAAATGCTTTCTTTCATACCAAAATATTAACGATGGTTAAAAATGTTAAAGACAATAGGATTGTAAGAAATACTTTTATGAATGCACTGGTGAGAATGGTAATCAGGACAATAGCCTATGTTTAACAAATATTGATAGTACTTTTTCCTATATGTATTTCTAAATTAACAATTACGTAGTTTCCCAGATAACAAAAGAATAGAAATTACATGAGCAGAGAGAAATATTTATGGTGATTGCTTCCGTGGGAATAGTAGAACAGAATTCAGTTCACTCTTAAGATGCATAGCATATCCTGTAGCTCAACAAGAAGAAAATGCATGCTGTAAATCACATGGATCACTTCTGAGTGTTTATCTATGGTGAGGAAAAAATGTAGTTTGCTTCACATCTGCAGGATTTTCAGTCACTTTCCTATTCCCTTGGATGGCAATATTGCTTATGTGAAAGGGCGAAATGAATAGTAATTTTCTCTTGTCTGATGTATACACACACACACACACACACACACATATCTTTAAAATATTGTTATCTGGTCATTTGATTAAGCATGACTCAAAGGAAATTATATTTGTTAGATTGCTCAGGAAATCATTTTTTCTTATGGTTGCGCCGAAAGAGCATAGTGTGTGTGTGTGTACACAGCAGTAACAGAATTTCAGAGGTTTCATTGCCTGGCACAGTGCTCTTGAGACATTTTTCTTTCTCACAGTCCTCTCTTCCAAAGGAAGGTGATGCAGAAAGCAGGTGGTGCCCTGCTCTAACGGAAGTCTGAGCGAGTGTGTATCTGCTCGCCCCTACCTTGTCTCTTCAGCAGAGCAACCTTGTCCTATAGGCTTTGTAGCAGGATGGCAAATAAGCATTATCCCTTTTTAAAGTTCCTCTCAGGTGTTTGTTTCTGATAAGCATTCCAGTGTAGCCAGTGAGAGCTCTAGAATTTCTAAAAGGAAGGAGTTAGAGGTGGCACACTGGCTAGAAAAGGGGACTAGGGTATTTGGCACAGCAGGCACACTTTTTTACTATACTGTGTATTTAACTGGATGGCTTGGAGTGGGTAATGGAGATGACGGGGCAAGGATGTAGGGGGTAGGGCTAAAGCAGTGATTCAGCCAGCTAGAGCTATGGGGTGTCCCACAGTACTCTGTGACATCGTATGTACCAAAGAAGTCATTCCAAACTACAGGATCCTAGCTCAAATCGGATGATTCCCATCCAACTCCAGATGGACCCATTTATAGACACATACTTGGATTCTCAAATTGTCCTGTCATATTTGCTTGAAAGTAACCATAAAACATCTCATATATGGTTCTGACTTCAGGAAAAAAAGTTATTCTTACCGTGTAATGAGAAATTAGAATTGAGATGTGTTAGTCACATATCTTCTTTCCTCACGTGATAGACTCACAGTTAATGTGATGTAATGGGATGTCATACTGAACCCCAAGTACAGAAGCAGTTAGCAACTCCCAGGTAGATTACTAAGGGATCCAAAGCCCCTAACTTGCAGAAGTGTTTGTTGAGCTAAATCATGAATATTGTTAATAAAAAAAATAGAGAAACCGTCTCCTTTGAACACACACATTTTTACATGGATATGTTAAGATTACTCAAAAACGATGATCAGAAACCATAATTCATTATCAATAAAATAAAAGAGAATTGGGACCCAGCAGACACAAATTTCAGAGATAATACCTTTTTTTTCTTTTTAATACATTTTAAGCCTAACATTCTGTTGTCTTATGTGCCTGTGCTGTGTCCAATGTGATTATGTTTATAATAGAGTCTACACTTCCATAAATAAGGAAATTAATACCTAAGTTATAACTTTCTGAAAAATGTTATTTTTATTTTTATGTGCACACAGTTTTTAGTAATATTTATTCTATCATGCCCTGAAATATTCATCACTTACATCACTAAATCGAATGGTTCTTGGATTTACATCTTTATGACCTCACTGAAAAAGATATTAAGACAAATCTCTCAGTTATTTATTAATAACACTTGGTACTTTGGGGACAAATTAACTTTTATTTAAAGAAAATGTATATTATTGTAGAAGTCATAGAAATAGAACTAAATCAAATATCTTAATAGTAAAGATAACAAATTTTTTAAAGATTTTATTTATTTATTAATGAGAGACACAGAGAGAGAGGCAGAGACACAGGCAGAGGAAGAAGCAGGCTCCCTGCAGTGAGCCTGATATGGGACTCAATTCCAGGGCCCTGGATCACACCTAGAGCCAAAGGCTGAGACTCAACCACTGAGCCACCCTGGTGCCCCCTTTTCTTTATAAACTTAACACAAATTTACTAAATCTAGGACTTTACGAGATTGAATCCTTGAGAAAGTCTTTTAGTGTCACAATCCAATTCCTTAAGTCGTTTAGTGTCACAATCCAATTCCTTAAGACTTAAGTTCATTTTCTTGTACCCATAAAATAATTTTATAATAAAACTAATTTCAGAGTTCTTTAAAAAGGAAAAATTAGAAGAATATATGTTTAAAAATTGCAGGAGACTGCCCATTATAATGAAAAGTTACCTTGAGGTATCTTAAGGATTAATTCTAAAAATATTACACTGGTTTACCTTGTTTTGTTTTGTCTTGTGGGTTTGTTTTTTTTGTTTGTTTGTTTTTTGTTTTTTGTTTTTTGTTTTTTGTTTTTGCTATTCATATTGCCTTTCATTTGAATTTCAATTGAATTATAGGAAACCTAAGTTTTAACAGAAAGGCAGAGGTGTATAATGAATACTGTCTATCCAGCTAACAGACACTATAGGGAGTTAGAGAAAGCGTTCAGGGGCCAGACCATGTTGGCCTCATAGGCCAGGTCTGCTCTAATCTGGGGGGCCTTGGAGAGCTCTGAGCAGTGCAATAACATGATATGCTTGTGTTTTATCAAAATAACTCTGGGTGTAGGTGGAGAATGGGTGTTAGGAAGGCAAGGGTGCAGTGGGGCAAGGGTCGGGGAACTATTGTAGCAATCCAGATGCTAAATAATCAGACAGCTTGGTGGGGGGTGGTATGATTCATTGATAGATGCTCAGTTATTCTTTTCTCGTGTGTACATCTAAAACTTGTCTTTCTATGGACTGGGGTCATCCAGGAACTCCTTCACTAGTTGGCACCATGCCTTTGCATCCAGCTTATCTACACATGAGATGATAGTTAATGATCATGACAGATCCCCTTCTACCTCCAAAAATAACTCATAGCACAATACCAAACAAAGATCAATTAATTAAATTGAATTATTCACTTGTTTATATGGTTTTTTTCTTCTTAAAATGTGGGTATTTTATTAACTCTTTTGAAATGGTGGTTTACTAGGTTTTTTTAAAGGGAGGATGATAAATGTGAAAGCATTATGATCTGTTGATTGGTGCTCTATCATTACCACCTGCTATTTCCTGAGTTGACCCTTTATCAGAACTTCGGGTCAGCGTAAACCCAGAGAGCAAGAATTACACTGTCCTCTCCACCCGGGCAAAAGTACAGTAGGCTTTGGATAAGGAATAGGTTGGCTCCCCATAGTGCACAGGGGTAAGGCTCTGGGAGCCTGACTGCCACTGTGGGTCTTAGATTTGCCACTCTCCAAAGACATGACCCTAAGCAAGTGGCCTGCCACCCAGTGAGAACGACGGTGGGAGCAGGGCTTCCTGGAGTGGCTCTTGGGAGGATTTCTGTGCATGTCCACAGAAGGGCTGGGTTCCATCCAATGCTGAGGCACTCTCAGCTGCTCCTGCCTGTGTGCTTGTCCTGTGTCCTCTGGAGAATGCACGCAGAATTCTAGAACTCACATTATCCAGGTTGGTGGTCTGGTGTTTTTAACCATCTGAACTCTCTCATCCCCAACCCCCACCACTGCCACCACCCCAAATGTCTTTGAAACCCAATTATATATATCAAGTAGGAGCAAATTTTCCCACTAGAACCCAGGCTGCAGTCTTTGGGTCCCAGTATTTGCCCCCAAACCTCATCAGAGCCCTCTGGGCTCCCCAGCACTGTCAGAAAATGACAGGCCAGTTGTGTTAGCTCCCAGGGAACAGGCTTTTTCTCTCTGGGTGTCTCCATGTCCTTTCCCCTCACAACTCACACTCCATGGCTGGGTACCCTGAAAACAATTCCTGAGTGGTGTTATAATATAACAGAATCTTTTGTCCACTGCACTAGGGAACTGTGGTGTAACAAGTCAGGGGACTGGCCAACTGGGACATCACACTGTGTTACACAAGGGGAAGGGTTCCCCTCTGCACAGTAAACCAGAGCTTTCACTCAAGATGGCATTTAAATCCACCTCCCAAGCATCCACTCGGTTCTTTGCCTTTTGAAGGAGTAAGGATTAGTCTGCATTTTATTTTATTTTTTTAAGATTTTATTTATTTATTCATGAGAGACACACAGAGAGAGGCAGAGACACAGGCAGAGGGAGAAGCAGACTCCATGTAGGGAGCCCGATGTGGGACTCAATCCCAGACCCCAAGATCACGCCCTGAGCTAAAGGCAGATACTCAACCCCTGAGCCACCCAGGTGCCCCTTAGTGTCCATTTTAAAAGACAGAAAGGAAATATTAGCAAGTGTAAAATGTGGGAACTATTACTGTATTCCACAGTAATCTGAAACCCTTAGGGATTTGTATATGTGGCATCCAAGAGAAAAGTCATCTTGGGGGATCCCTGGGTGGCACAGCGGTTTGGCGCCTGCCTTTGGCCCAGGGCATGATCCTGGAGACCCGGGATCGAATCCCACATCGGGCTCCCGGTGCATGGAGCCTGCTCCTCCCTCTGCCTGTGTCTCTGCCTCTCTCTCTCTCTCTCTCTCTCTCTCTCTGTGACTATCATAAGTAAATAAAAATTAAAAAAA